ACTAGATAATACAGAAATTGAACAAATATCTTTGTACAAATACCTTGGAGCATGGATCACAGAAGATACTGATTAGACAAAAGAAATAAGATGCCGCATTGGAATTGCACGGTCAACTTTAAATAGAATGAGAAAACTTTTTTGTAATCGAGATATCAATATATCGCTTCGGATAAGAATGCTTTGATGTTATATTTTCTTTACCCTTTTATATGGGATTCAAGCTTGGTCACTTAAAAAATCCAACATTAAAAACCTAGAAGCATTCGAAATGTCGTGCTACCGACGTGTTTTGAAAATATCATGGATGGATCGCAAAACAACCGAACAAGTTCTCGAACAACTAGGAAAACAATGCGAAGTTTTAAATTTCATAAAAATCAGAAAATTAGAATACTTGGGGCACATCATACATCACACATCAAGACGTAAAGTCTAGTGGTTACGCAATCTCCGTGAATGGTTTGGATGCAATTCAACTGAACTATTCAGGCGCATATTAAACAAAATGATAATTGCCAGAATGATTTCCGATCTCCGATAGGAGTGGAACTTGAAGAAAAAGAATAAGTACATTATTATTATATCATATATATATATATATATATATATATATATATATATATATATATATATATATATATATATATATATATATATATTATATATAATATATGATATACACGATATTGAAAGAGGTTACAACATAGACAATCAACAAAATCTACATCGACAACTACACAGTAAACACCCAACAATAATAGAAGTGTCAAATGCTTGAGACAGGGAGATCCTTTATCCACTACATTATTCAACTTAGTATTAGAAACTGTAATCAGAAAATGCAGCATGAGGATGGAAGAAACGATCATGAAAAATGAGCACCAGTGCTTGGCATTTGCTGATGATCTAACGATCCTAGCAAAAACCGAGTAAGAATTAAGAAGAGTTGTAAAGAAAATCATCGAAGAAGCACAGAAATTTGGATTGGAACTAAATGAAGACAAAACTAAATATATGATCATGAAAGGAACAGAAGGGAAAAAAGAAGACTTTAGTGTGAGGTCAGTAAGTGGTAAAAGCTATAGTTTTAAAAGGGTGGACAAATTTGAATACCTAGGTGTAGTTTTCGATGAAAATGGAAAAGAGAAATGGGAGCTCGTAGCCAGAATAGCAAAAGGGAATAAAAAATTAGGTGGTTTAAGAGCCCTACTGAACTCAAAATACGTTTCTAGGCAAGGTAAACTCAGAATATATAAAACAGTAATTCGACCCACAGTAACATATGCCGGTGAGCCTGGATATTAAATAAGAAGAAAGAGGATACTGTGAAAAGATGGGAAAGGAAAATATTGAGATGCATATTCAGAGGACGGAAGGCAGAAGATGGTTGGGAGAGAAGAACCAACAATGAATTAATGGCTTTATACAAAGAACCTACTATTACCAAGTTCGTCAAGGCACAAAGAATCAGATGGTTGGGACATGTGGAAAGAATGGCAGCAAACAGAATTCCTAAACTAGTAATAACCAGAAAATTAATCGGCCCCAAAAGAAGAGGTAGACCCAGAACGAGATGGATTAGTAAAGCGGAGGAAGACCTTAAACACGTGAAGGTGAGGGAATGGAAAAAAAGCACAAAATAGAAGCGAATGGAAAAATATTGTACACCAGGTCCTTCAGAGTAGTTAAGAATGTTATATATACATATTTAAGTTTAAGTTTTGTTTAAAATAATTGTAATTAGTTAATATTAGAATTATGTTGTAAAAAAATGCTCTAGGCCTTAACGGCCTGTTGTGCGTAAAAATAAATAAATAAATAATAGGGTGCAAAATTCGAAAGAATCGCGTTTTTTGCATTAATTGTTAATCATTAAAAAACGGCTCCGAACTTTACGCAGGAAACAGGTAGGTTTTCTTTTTATAGGTCTACAATAATAACTAAAAAAGTTGTCAGCTACCTGGATTATTGAGTGTCACGAGAAAATCCTTATTAGATTATGGCTGGACAAGCAAGTGAAGAAATAAACTTCATATATTATGTAAACTTTACTAACAAAAACGTTGAAAATAAATATTCCTATAAAATATAAATAATCAAATTCCATATTCAAATACAGCAAAATATTTGGGTATTGTCCAATAAATATAAATAATCAAATTCCGTATTCAAATACTGCAAAATATTTGAGTATTACTCTAAGCTTTTATGTAAAGAAGAAAAGAAAATAATAATTCTGATTGAAATGTACTGGCTGATTGACCAAAATTCTACGCTGTTTCTACATAATAAATTATTATTATATAAGCAAATACTGAAACAATAGTATTATTATAAAAACAGTATAATTCATATAAAAATGTAATCAAATTATAGGTACTTATTATAGGTACTGCTTATTTATATAAAATTTCCTCAATCGGAACATAAACGTCTTCGTGAACTACCCATTTTAAAAACAATTAACACACTGGTTTGTCAAAAGGTGGTCAAAAGTCGAAATAAACCCTAATAATGTTATTCAACATTATTTATGACCCACCTTCGAGAGGGTATTATACTTCTTACCTAACCAACCTAACCGTGTCGGCGAGAAACCAGAAACTATCGACAAGGACAGCCTGTACTGGCCGAGAGAGAAAGTTACATTTAGCAAAATTTGAGATTTTAAAAAAAGTTTATACCAAATAGCTGCTTTGTGTTACACTTTATGTTAAAAATAAAAACAGATTCGGAAAGTGGGTCAAATTCTGTAGTGCCCTATTTCAAAAAAAAAATTTTTACGTTTATTTTAACCAAAAATATTTGAAAAAAAAAAATTGTTTAAATAATTTATTAATTTACAACCAAATAGTGCACTAGAACTTTTTAAGACCTTTCATATAAAAAAAGAATCATCTCAATATCTGCCATAGTTTTTGCGTTATTTGATATAAACTTTTACATTGGAACTTAGGTATGCCCAGAAACGCAAGGAACGGCCTTAAGAGAAACACATTCAAGCAAATTGGCAAGTAATATGGTGACAAAAGTAACAAGTTATTCCAATAAATGTCCTGGACAACCAGGAATGTGTTTATCTTGCTTTAATAGCATTTATAAAAAATAATCTATTTTTCTGAAACTTGATTGTTTTTTTAATAACTACAAAAAATCTTTGGTTTTCCTGAAACTTTGTTTTTTTTTGTGTAATATCTAAGGACATAAATATTATTTAGTTTACATGTTTTTTGTTTTCAAATATTATTTACACTAATAAAATATTAAGAAGTTTTGATCTTTTAATCTAAATCTGTAAAAAATAGTAAGCTGTCTTGATACTTTATAATATGCTTTACAGGAATCTAATGACAATGGTAAGTTTTAAAATGTTTTTACTGTTTATAACTGATTTTAAAATTTGTATAATTTATATTATAAAACTGTAAAAATGTAAAAACTAATAACTTCACTACCGGTCCCCGACGGTCGGTAACGCACCGTGTTCGCGTCAAGCCACAGGTACCGGGGGACTAGTAACGCACTGTTCTTTTGTTGACATATTTTATGAACGCAGTCAACCTGCTAAACTGCAATTTACATAGGTGGGCCAACTGATATGAGAAGGGGCTCGTATACTTCATCACCAGAAAATATATCAAGATACCTCCATTTATTTAAGATTTATTTTAACAAAAAATGTATGTATGTTGTCTTTAATTATTTTTTTTTTGCAGTAATATTATCGCTGTTTTTACATGTAGCAGATTAACTTTTTATTAATTACTCAAGTAGCTCGTTAGTGAAATTTCATTTTAGAGTCAAAACTGTCATGCAAGTTACGACACAGTACAATATGCCCTTACTTTGCGTAATATTATGTTTATTACCTTCTTCTTTACGTATCATCTACGCCAGTGGTGCCAGGGGGAGAAGTTTTGGGGGTTAACCTCCCCCCCCCCAGGGCACTATTCCGACACTGTTACTCACAAATTTTAAGGACTTAAAATGGTCGAAAATTCTAGGTGTGCCACTGATCTCCACAGCGGAGATTGAAAACCATCATGGTTATTTTGATCTTAGATACCACTATCCTGAAAAGTTCGATAGACAAACTTCTATACCGTACCTGCAACTTGGGTATTCATGAGGTTTTTCTTACACTTCTCCTTTCCTGGATTTTTCCTTGCATTACTAATTAGACCACATAATATCTTTAACCACGCATAACAATTCCCAGGTACTGCAGCTTTCTGATTTTATAATTTTCTAGTATCTTCTTACTCTTATGTATTCTTTTCATGACTATATTCTTTGTTACATGTTCAACCCATCATATTTTTAGAATTCTCGTGAATACCCGCAATTGAAATGCTTCCAATTTCTTAATTATCACCGCGTTAAGGGTACACGTCTTCATTTAATATAAAAGTGTGATAAAAATATAGCACCTTGCCAGTCTAACTCTCAAATGTACAAAGCATTTTTATCAGTGTGTTAAAATGATCACATGCTGTTTTTTCGCGCTCCCTAATTTCTTTGGAGTAATTACTCTTACATTGGATTATGTTGCCAATATAGTTATAATTTTCTACATGTTTAAGTTATTTGCAATTTGTAAATTTGTTAATTTAACTTTTCATCATTATTTTGTGATGATTTTGGAGGGTCCATATTTATTCTATATATTTAATTAATTAATAATCTTACGACAACAGCTTTCATTATCACTTTTTTGTGTTGTCTTGTGAAAGAACTGTGTTAAACTTTTCGAAGTAACTTGCAAAAGTGGGATACTCCCATTGTTGAGTAATAGACGTCGCTGCCAACCTTAGTTTTTAGAACTTGGGTTGAAAGCTTTCGTTCATCTTGAGACTGAGACTAATTGTAAAACTAAAAGTGTAATCTTATATTCAATTATGTCTAATATATATCATCTTATACTATATCTCATTATCTTGAATTAATATTGGAAATATTTTATATAAAATATATTTATTATTTTTATTTTATTACAGAACAACTGAAAACGATTCCACGTGGAATTTGTACTGATGGTTATTTCCAATGCGCAAATGATACACTATGCGTCCCTCAAAGTCAAAATTGTGATGGTGTAGCAGATTGTCCAAATGGTAGCGACGAAGAAGACTGTGGTAAGCAAAGAGTTTAATAGATTACATTAAGACTTATTTTCTTTTAAACTACACTTAACATAACAGCTTATAAAAATTAAAAATATTTTAGATGTTATGTTTCATAATATATATCAATCTTTTAACCTTCCGTCACTGAAGCGAGGACTCACAGTCCTTAGCAAAATGTATATTAAATTTATTATAATTTACCCCACCCAACCCAACAGCAGGAAAAGTTGAAGGAAAACGAAGACCAGGAAGGCGAAGAATTTCCTGGCTGAAAAATCTACGTACTTAGTTAAACACAATAACCACAAATCTTTTCAGAGCCTCCATTTGCAAAATACATATTGCCATGATGGTCACCAACATCCAAAACGGATCAGCACTATAAGAAGAAGAACCCAACAGCCGCACTCTGTATTTCTTGACCATGTTTCAGCTATGTTTAGTATATCATATTACCTACACAAATGCATTTGCTTGAAATTGAAATCGTAGGCTTCCACGGCCAGAGTCAGAATTATAGTTTATTCGTCTTCCGGGTTTGGACCGTGTCATTTGTGAGTGACCCAAAAGTGGGTTACTCTCGACGTTTCGCTACAATTGTATGTAGCTTCTTCAGGAGAACAAAGAAAAAGAAAAAGAAAACAAAGGACAGGAAGATGGGTAGTTAGCAACGGTAACTCAGTTACTCAACGCAACCAGAGGCGAATACTAACTACCAAGATGGGCATTTGGTCACAGTAACTCAACTACTTAACGCAGCCAGAGGTGAAAACCAAATGCCAGGACAGGGATTCACGTCCAACAGCTCAGAACACTAACGCGTCGAGAGGCGGGGAGTGAATCCGACGATTACTCCGTTACCGCTCTATTTATAGTCGCGGTGACCTGTCGTGTCGGGACGTATCGGCACACTCCGTGGCGCGAACGTCAAGAAGCGCGCGCTGGCCAATCATGTGGCTGCATCGTGGTAGCGGGACCGGACGGCGGCTCTAGACTGAGATTCCAGATGGGAGACAAGTAGTATCCTTCCTCTCGATTGATATTATGTGGATTTTTTCGGATCTCTAGAGATTCGCGGATTTTCCTGGAATAAAAGAAGGGGCTTTTAGAAATAATATGCTGAGCTGTTGGACGTGAATCCCTGTCCTGGCATTTGGTTTTCACCTCTGGCTGCGTTAAGTAGTTGAGTTACTGTGACCAAATGCCCATCTTGGTAGTTAGTATTCGCCTCTGGTTGCGTTGAGTAACTGAGCTACCGTTGCTAACTACCCATCTTCCTGTCCTTTGTTTTCTTTTTCTTTTTCTTTGTTCTCCTGAAGAAGCTACATACAATTGTAGCGAAACGTCGAGATGAACCGACTTTTGGGTCACTCACCAATGACACGGTCCAAACCCGGAAGACGAATAAACTATAATGCATTTGTTTGTTTTTGGTAGCTAGTTGCGGAGCGACAGTCCGGCGCCAGTAACAATTACACAGTTTAACAGATAAACAGTTTCACAGATAAGTAAACATATTAAAAGATTTTATGTATTTTATAAAAGGTAACAAATAGTATTCTGAATTTTTATTATTTGACCAATATTCAATGGCATCGTATAAAAAGAGTGTCTCAGTGAAGATCAACATAATGAAGAGGTAGTGAACGACAACCATGAAGATAGCAAAGAAGATATAGTAGATACCTAAGAAATATCGTCGTCTCAGAGCAACAGTAAACCATGTGCAAAATCTTTGTTTGCGAGAAATGTGTATTTTAAATCTGTAATAAAATCACTAGTAATTAGTAAATCGAAATAATTTTTACGATAGGAGTACAAAATATCAAAATAAATAAAAGTGTTTAGGTATAAAAAAGATAGAGAAAAGGTAGAAAAAATAGAATTTGTCCTACTGTTGCACTAAACTCCTTTAAAAAAACAATAGGATATCTATAGTATTTGTCTTAGTGTTACCCTATAATTAAATATTGGTTTCGATTTTACCCTTCATATAGAAATATAGTAAAAACAACAAAATAAAGAAACGCAACTACTTAATGTCTATATTTAAACTTTATTCACTCTCAGAATCATTATCTTCTGAAGATGCATTAAGTGACATAAAAAAATTATAATATTTCTTAGAAATTAGATTATCATTGCATAAGCTGATAAGATCATTCTTCCTATTTACGGGTATGGTTTTTGTCGCATTATAAGCAGGGGGTGTATTGTATACTTACTGGTTTTTTTCTCCTTTTTTTTTACATCAATAGTCTTATATTCTTGATCAGCATAGAATGTTATCTAAAAATTTTTATTGAGTTCTACTTATTTAACCAGTATAACTTTAATTTCATTCCAAGTAGCTGTTTCCTCATTTTCATAATTATGTATTAAAATTTTTGCCCATCATTGAGTTTATTTTCTTCCAATCTATAAAATCTTCTGTGGACATGTCAGCTACGGAGTACGGATTGCCCTTTTTATTGGCCGATTTTACAATGGTAATAACTTCAGAGGGAACGTAAATAATATTCTACTTCTCTCTTTTTCTATGCCTGAAGGCATAGAGTCACCCTTATTTTCAGTATGTCCAACAATTAAATAGTTGTGAAGTATTTTTGAACATCTAAGTACTCCACTGAGTACAAACACATAGATGCTAAAAATCTGTTTTTGTTTTGGGCTGACCAATTATCGCTATAAAACACCACCTGTTTTCCTATGCCATACTTTTTTATGTAATTAAAAACGCATGTTGATATTTCGTTCACCCTCCTTTTGCTTCACTTTCATGCCAGATGTAGCAGAAACCCTCTTCTATATTAATATTAAAAATTGTAAAGTTAAGAACATTTAACTTACACTTGTAATAAAAAGAGGATACATTTCCATTTGGTAGGGATATCACGGCTTGCAAATCGAATGTAGAGAGCAAAATATTATCATCGTCTGAGGCCAATTTCTTAATACATATTTTCCTTTTCCAGGCGCGACAGTACCTTTTCGTCATTAAGCTTTTCAATTTCTGCCATTTTTTAAATTTTTTCTTCTTCATTTATAATTTTGTACAGTTCACATACTAAGCACAAATCTTTCTTCCGCTTGAAAAATCGTTCTGGTACCGTGGGTACGTCATTAATTTCTGTAATATTATCTTTTTCGTCATCAAGTACATAATCTGTGTCTTTTAAATCATCATCTTAGCAAAATTCGCTTGCACTCATATCATTTTCAGATGTTATATTTTTTACAGCAAGTATTTGATGGTAAGATGTGGCCTCCTCCAAAATCACTAAAATTAGACAAAAAGTTTCTCAATTGTACTTTTTTAATATGCTATAATCTAAACTAAATGGATTTTTAAACAATTAGGTATTAAAATAATATGGAAATTAAAGTAGGTGTTTTTTTACTTCTATGGAAAATTTTATTGCGCTCCTCATTACCGTTTATCGGTACGGTTGTTAAGGCTGTTAACTCAGTATTTTGGTGAAACAGTAGGATGTGTTATCTTAACCTGGTGTTGTCGAAAATATACTTTAAACTGTGTGTAATATAAGGTTATGTATTTTATGGCGTTAGTATGAATATTTACATCATACCTTAGTCTTAGACTCAATAAAGGTACTCTTTTTGATGCATTTTATGTTGATAACCAAAAATCACTATTGTTTTGGATGTCCTAGTGTTACTTTGAGGCGACGATATATTCTGATTCTGGCAATGAATTTAAAGATGAATACATAGAAATCAATACCTTTCAAGTACCTTAATTAGTTGGAACTAAAAAAGTAAGTGAGCAAAACACTCTCCTCCCACATTACGAACATGGGTAGTGATATAATATATAACGACACTTGACATGTTATCAAACATGCAGTCGAAGTTTTTCATCTGCTTATTCAAGCTAGCAATTATATTGGTGGTTTCGGTATTTTGCATGGTTTCGTTTGCAGTTTTCTTTGTCGCTTATGCACAGACTTTTTTTACAGAGACGGTGCTTGAGCTTTTTTACCTTTTATTGGTGTTAAAGTTGTGTTTATTTTTTTTTTTCTTTGGTACCTTTGAGTAGCCTCTATAGTTGGTAATATGTATTTCACCTCAATTTACACACTTGGGGTCTGTATTTCTACGCTTTTTGCATTCACTATTTAAGTTTTGGTTTACACATTTCAATCCACAATGACAGAACTTCGAGCCTTGGAAAAGGCCCTAGTAGATGAAGAACTGCTATAACTGCCAGGGCCACAACTTTTTTAAGGGTTATTTTATCTGCTTCTTAACTGTTACCAAGAATAGGGGCAGAATTTTCTTGTCCTGTTTCTTTAAGACCATGTATGAGAGTTTTGTCTCTATATCGTTATTTTCAAGTTCCACTTTAATAGTTTTCTTCTTTGTCGTTTCGTATACGCCACTTGGTACCTACCTTTTTGTTCTTGATTAATTAGATAAGCCATACAGTAAATTTTGTCCTCTTTGTCAAATATCTGGGTTTTTTTCTATTGCAAGGTAACCCTTCCTATCGTTAATCTGGATAACTATTGGTCTACTAGACTTGGCGAATTTATTTGAGGAGCAGATTACGTGTTCTGCTGCTTTTTGCAGAACCTTTTGGCTTATGGCTACCGAGCTTAATATCATTGCTGGTGATTTCGGCTGATAAATTGTTTTTTTTTTATGTTTTTCTGTCTCTGTTTTTGTCTTCTTTCTTATTTTAGGTATCTCTGTATACATTTAGCTACAAAGGTATTTTTGTAGTTGATCTCACTTTTCAGCAACACTTTTTTTGTATTTTTGACCTAACTTACTAGGGTTTTCATTTTTGTTACGGTAGCACTAGAGCATTAAGTTGTTGTTGTTAGTGTCTTAAAACCGTTTTATTGCACCAACTTTGCTGGTTTTTCTGTTGTTGTCTCTTCGGTTGGTTTTTTTGTCGGCTTGGCTTTGACCATTATGCAGATTCTATCAGTTAAGGTGGTTACTTAGTCCATTAAAATGTTTTTTTTTTATTTTAATTTTTT